GGGAGGACCTGGGCTAGAGAGACATGCATATGAACTTAGCATCAAATATGTGGCTGCCTTTAATTTACCTTAGAACTTTTCAGGGTTAGGCTGGGAAGGTGGCTCAGTGGTAGAGCGCGTGCCTTGCATGCATGAGGCCCTGGGTTCGATTCCTCAGCACCACATAAGCAAAAAGAAAAAAGCCAGAAGTGGCGCTGTGGCTCAAGTGGTAGAGCGCTAGCCTTGAGCTGAAGAGCTGAGGGACAGCGCCCAGGCCCAGAGTTCAGGCCTCATGACCGGACCAAAAAAAATAAAAAAGAACTTTTCAGGGTGTGCTTGAGACCACCAGGATCCTGCAGGACCAGTGTTAGGAGCCCCAGCTGGCCTTCGGAGGAAGCAGGGGCGCAGGGAGAGAGTACATAGCTGGGGTGACGGTTGGGAGTCAGGGTTTTCTGAACTGGGGGACAGGCAGGTCAGGAGAAGGCATGGGAAGGATTCTGAAGGCAAAAAGTTGCCCACGTGGCAGGGACAGGAACATGGTAACAGAGTGACCTCATTGCTTTGGTTTTCCCTTCTGTGAATCAGCCTACACCTGTCCCCTGTTCAAAAGCCCTGGGAAAGGCTGGGAAGGTGGCTCAGTGTAGAGCGCTTGCCTTGCATGCATGAGGCCCTGGGTTCGGTTCCTCAGCACCATATAAGCAGAAAAAGCCAGAAGTGGTGCTGTGGCTCAGGTAGAACACCAGCCTTGAGCTGAAGAGCTGAAGGACAGTGCTCAAGCCCAGAGTTCAAACCCCAGGACCTCACCACCCCCCCAAAAAAAAAGCCCTGGGAGAGTTCCCTGACATCCATAAAATCAAGTCTAGTCTCCTCCCAGGCCTATAGGACCCCCTGCCCTTTGACCTCCAATCCTTTAACCCCTTTAGTGCCACTCAGTCCCCCTCCTACCCTGGGAGCTTTGAAACTCAAATTTAAATAATTCAATGAATCCATCTAATTGAAACTACTTAATCGTACAGGAGGCTTAATTAGTTTAAATGATGTGATTAATTTTGATGTAATTGGCTGGGCGCCCCCAGGGAGGGAGGGGACAGGTGGGAAGCACTAGTTTCCAGTGCCTGTGACTCCAGCCTACATGTCTGCTGTGCTGGCTGAGCTTGCTGAGGGCAGGCTGGGTCTCTCAGCCCCACTGTAGCTCCAAGGCTCCAGGTGTCCCTGCTGCATTGTAAGGGCTCAGAGAACAATCCACACAACATGCTACTGTTGAAGTAAGCCACAGGGAATTGAGTTGCCCCTATACCAAGACACTAGCTAGTAACTACAACCTGGAGATACACAGACACTCCTACCTCTTCCAAAGAGATCACAGAGGCCCAGGGGTAAGCACGGAGAGTGCACCCTCAGGGTAGAAAGCTCAGAGATGATCTCAGCCCCATGCAGGTAGCTCACCTGTGTGGGCATGAGGTCCCTGTTGCTGGTGGATGCAAGAAGATGCTGCAAGGCCTGAGGGCAGTGCTGCTAGGGAGGGTGTGCACACAGAAGCGTGAGCAGACATTCCCACCCCATGGAGGGAGACTCTGTTCCCCAGCCACTTCCCTGCCCATGAGGAAGTCTGAGAAGCCTGAAAAGAAGCCACTGCATGGCCCCTTTCCTAGATCAACTGCCCTGGCAGCTTTTATTACTATCATTATCTTTAAGTAGTTGTTCAGAGGTGTTGCCATTTAACAAAGCAATTTATGAATACAATGCATCTTGACCAATGTCTAATAGCTTTGATGGTAGAGGGGAGACAGCTTTAATCTGGTTCAGGGACTGCCAGGTGAGCAAGTGGCCTCTCCAGGCCCAGCTTCAAGAGCAGAGAGGCAGCTCCATGCATGAAGACCCCCAGGGACTCCATCCTCTGAAAGGCAGAGGCAAGAAGTCAGACTGTGTAGGTGCCTAGCTCCTGTGAGCCCACTGGAAATAAACAGTACCATGGCTCTGACCAGCCCAAATCTTAACACATCTCTGCCAGGCTCTGGGGCCTCAGTTATCAGCTTCCTGAGTTCAGCCTTGGGCCGCTGTCCTGTTTCCTGTGCCATCAACAGGCCCCGCTGAGCCTCCCAGTCTATCCTATAGGCAGAGGACTGACACAAATGTAAATCAACAAATGAAGAAAACAGGACAAGCATATGGCAGTCATGGAGGCCTCTCTGAGGAGGTGACCTACTAAGCAGAACATTTCCAGGGAGAGTATTCTAGGAAGCAACAGCTAGTGTAAAGGTCCTGTGGTACATCAAGATAGAAACCAAGGCAGGATGCTATGGGCACAGTGTGTGTGTGTGTGTGTGTGTGTGTGTGTGTGTGTGTGTGCTTGTTACCAGGGTTTGCTTGAACTCAGGGCCTCATGGTCTTGCTATTTTTTCACTCAATTCTAGCCTTCTACCATTCAAGTCACAGTTCTACTTCCAGCTTATTGCTTGTTAATTGGAGATAAGAGTCTCTCAGACTTTCCTGCCCAGGCTAGCTTTGAACCACAATCCTCAGATCTCAGCCTCCTGGGTAGCCTGGATTATAGGTATGAGCCAGCTTACAGCATGAATTTGAGGGAGGAAAGACCTAACAAAGAGGCTACCTGCCTGGGCCTCCAGCACAGAACTGGCCAAACCTCTGTTGGAGGCAGGCGGGTGCTCTCAAACTGGCCTGTCTGCTCTGATATTAATGCTAACCTGAGTATCTCTTAACTGCAATTGAAAGGGAAAGGCCATGTGCCTCTGCCATCTGTGTCCACCCAGAGGGCCAACATTAATCCAGGAGGTGCCTGCCCCAACCTTGCTGCCTGCTGAGAAATCGAGACCCCACTCCCCCACCCCCGGCTGCAACTAGAGGTGAGGTCAGGCCCTGAAGCTCATAGGAGGCTGGGGGAGGTACCTGTACAGTATCGGTGGTTTGCAGGCCCTGTTCCAAGTCTGGGTCTGGGCCTTGGAAAGGTCAACGCCCTGTCTGCATATTTGACTACAGAATGCCCTTTGTGAAAGCTGAAGGGTGGCATTAAATGGTAATGGAATGCAAAATGCCTGGTGTTTGCAGTACTGCGTAGAGGACTCTGCAAAAAAAAATTGTAAAGTGCTATGTACTCCTGGCAGGACTTAGCAAAGTGTAAATAAACTACTTGATCAAGTGCCCCGCAGCCCTTACGGGAAGACTGCAAACGATTAACTTTGCAACCGTGTTGGGACACGTCCAGTGCTTTCTCTGGAAGCAGCAGTGCCTGGCCCACTGTGGAGGGCGGGACACCACGTGTGCTACACGCTATCCCCCGCACACTGTCACACGGCCGGGCGGGGCTCCTGACGCACCCGGGCAAAGTCCGGGCTCTGCTGCCTCCTGGCGGCCGCAGGCGAGGCGACCGCGCCCGAGACTCGGCTCCCTGGCCCTGAGCGCCCGCAAGGACGCGCAGGCGCACATCCCCCGCTGTGGCCTACACTGGGGCTGTGCGGATTGGTTCCCTCCCTCGTGCATTCGCTATTCGCTTGACTGACCTCCTGCTCGAGGTTGGCAGGGGTAAGTTGGCAGATCGCATCTGCTCAGTGAAAGCAGTCACAAGGGAGACCTGGAGAGGTGAGAAGGGAAAGAGGGGCGGGGTTTCGGGCAGAGGATACAGGGACCTCAAGGGGCCTGGGGTCGGGTCTGAGACCAAAGCTCTCTGAATCTGTTACACAAGCAGTCCAAGGAAGGGTTAACAGTGGGCATCAAGGGCTGAGGATGGAAGAGTGGTGGGTGAAGGCAGAAGACAGACCCTATGGGTGCCTGTCCTCACTTGTAGGAATACGGTGGCTCTGCCTCACACCTTGAGAGGCGGTGGGTGACTCCTCCCATGTCCCATCTATGCCTCATCAGTCATCGTTCATCGTCCTGACCTGTGATTGGCCAGGGGGTGGGCAAGGACCCCTTCACAGCCAATAAGAGCTAAGTCTGGGACTTGGGAAGAGCTCAGGCTCACGGTTTGCTCAACCGGCACACTAGGTTTGCCCTACCCCCAGGAAGGTGGTGTGTGGACACAGGAAGTCCTTGGGGACATTAACCAAGTGCCTGGATCCCACAGCGCTTGAAGCCAGACACTTTCCTGCTAATGAGAGGAATGCGCAGGACTGAAGTTAGTGTTTACCCATCCCACACAAGGACCTCAGAGTCAGACTGCAAGCTGGCAGGGGGACTTCTAAATGCCTTCTCCCGGGGCACCACTCTGAGTCCGTGTCTCCATTTTACAAGCTGTGTTGGCTTTGGGCAAGTTATACTTCAACTGGCTGGGTGTGTTTTCTCATCTATAATCCAGTACAGCACAGAGACACTGACAAGGTACCCATATAGTGCCTTGGGCACGGTGGGGGTGTGCGCGTTGCTCATACATCTGGCTGTTGTCAGCCTTAGATAGTGGCAGGACAGGAAGTTCCCACCAAAAACCAACCTGTATTGCTGCGTCCAGCAGCGTGCCTGGCACCTGGGCACTGAAAGCCTTGGACCCCTGGAAGCCTTGTGTCTCTTCACAAGGGGCCTAGTGGGCCGGTGATTCCCACTTCCTCATGGAGCTCTCCTGCAACATTCTCGGGGACCTCCCCAAGGAGGTGTAGGCTCACCACAATCGTCACACAGTCTCTTTTCTTTTCTTTTTAATTAAAACAGCAACCAGTTGCCTGCCTGGGGCCGCCAGGGAAAGGCCAGAGAGGGGCAGGCCTTTCTTTCACAAAAATATATTTTCTTTTTTTCTGTTTAAAAACACCACCAAAGCACACCCACAGACCCGGTGAGCCCTCGCAGGCCCACTGAGACACCTTGAGTGACCCATCTCCCTAGACTCCAGCCGGAGCAGAAGGGCAGGTCTCAGCCTGCGGGAAGCCCAGGGCTGGAGAAGTAATCAACTCCAAACCATGCAAGGAAAAACAAAAACAAACAAACAAAAAAAAAAAGAGAAAACAAAAACAGCCCATCCCACAAAGCAAAAAGAAAAGTCAACAGAAGATAAATTAAAATTAAGAAAAAGAAAATAAAAGTGACCCAACACTATTAGAGGTGGTGAGGGGGCTGGACAGGTGTGCCCCTCAAGGCCACTAGCCAGTGGTGAGTCAAGGCCCCAGATAGCTGAAGGTTACCCCATGAGAGACTTAGGGATTCACATGGCTCATCCCCTACTGTGTCCTCCACACGAGGCCAGAACAGAGGTGTGGCCACCCTGGGCCAAAGTGTGCAAAGTCCATTCAGTTGAGATAAAAAAAAAATATACAACTTGGGTGGCATGCAGGCGGGGCCCGAGCTGGTGGCTCGTCCACACAGGCACTGGCTGCCTTCTCCAGGAGGGGCAGCAGAGTTCACGTGGGGTGCCCAGGCCCCTCCAAGTCCAAGGCTTGGTGGAGACTTGGGGTCCTTGGAGCAGCAGAGCAGAGGCACTGACGAGGCCCCCGTGGGCCTAGCTGGGAGTCCTGGAAGATCTGGTTCTTTGGCACTTGAGACACAAGGCTGGTTGCAGAGCCAAGGCAGGAGCAGCCCCCTCGATTCCTCCCAGAATGCCCAGGGCCAGGATGGCAGTAGCTTATGGCTGTGGGCAAGCACTGCCCCAGCAGAGAGGACTCGGGTGCTGGAGGGCCAGTGGAATCCCAGGTCAGCCCGCTATGAATCCTCTCCCAGGATCTCCTTTACAAAGGCAGCAATGTCCGTCTTCTTGGTTTTGTGCAGGGTGAAGAAAGGGTGCTCCTGGAGGGGAGACAAAGGCACCGTCACCAGAGAGGGAGAGGGGGAAGAAGCCCTCTTCCCCAACCCACGCCATCTCTGTGCTCCTTCTGTCTGGCAAACTCCTACTTGTCCTTCACCTCTATGAAGCCCTCCAGGACTGGGAGAGAGTAGTTCAAGACCCCACCTCATCCTGCCACACTAACCACCCCTTCCCCACATGCCCCACATGCCCCACACTGGACCCCCTGCTGGAAATGCTCTCTCCACTCTCCACCCTTCCTTCCATCAGTTCAAATGATCTTCCTCCAGGAAGCCTTCCCTCATGCCACCTTGGTGACTCTGCCCTGCCATCCCAGCCTGTGTAATCCTCCACAGGCCTGGGGTGCAGAAGGAAGGAGGCAGGCAGATGTGCGTGCGTGCGTGTGTGCGTGCGTGTGTGAATGAGAGCAGGAGTTGCTGTTATGCATCTGGGACAGCTGCACCCAGCCACTGCCTGCCCCAAAGTGTAAGGTAGGCCCTTCCCATGCTCACCATCAGCTCCAGGTAGCTCATGCGCTCTGCAGGGTTCTTCCTCAAGCTACAACAGAATGGAGGGGGGAAGGGTGCTAAGGTCAAGCCCATACAGAGAAAGCCAGTCTAGCCAGCCTGGGGACACACACTCCTGGGACTCAAGGAAGAAGGAACAGGAGTATTGGGGCGGGGGGAAGGGTCCCCCCAAGGTATAGCAAACTATATTGTAGCAACTTTCCCTAACTCTGATTTTTAGTTTGTCTCCAGAGTGATTCTGGTAGTGTCTCATGATGACAATCGCAAAATGCTATAATGGTCTGTTTAATCAGGAATGCACATTCTTTTATCACTGGTCCTGGAAGAAGGACAATCCCAATTAGTTTCTCACCACCACTCCTATTTTCTAGTAGATGAAATAAAGGCTCTGGATTTTCCTGAGTATCTCACATAGATACTGAGAGGCTCTCATTGTCTTTTTTTTTTTTTTTTTTGGGTCCGGTCGTGGGGCCTGAACTCTGGGCGTGGGCGCTGTCCCTCAGCTCTTCAGCTCAAGGCTAGCGCTCTACCACTTGAGCCACAGCGCCACTTCCGGCTTTTTTCTTTTTGCTTATGTGGTGCTGGGGAATTGAACCCAGGGCCTCAGGCATGCAAGGCAAGCACTCTACCACTGAGCCACCTTCCCAGCCCCCTCTCATTGTCTTTTTAAAATTTCTTTCATAACCCGAGTTATTCAGAAAAAAATTACTTTTAATTTCCATGTAACTTCTTCCTCTTTCGTTACTCACTTCCTGTTCCGTTTACTTAGGGTTAGAGAACAAGGGTCACATCACCTGGCCTGGCCTGTTTTCTTATATCCTTTCTAACTTTAACATGACTTATTTCTTTTTTCTTTCTTTTTTTTTTCTGTTTATGTGGTACTGAGGAATTGAACCCAGGGCTCTAGGCAAGCACTCTACCACTAAGCCACATTCCCAGCCCTCATGATTCATTTCTATAAGGCTTCTATAGGTATTTCCTAATTCTATACAATGTTCTAGACATTAATAAAAGCAAAAATTTTATGCATTCAAATTTTCCAGGTAGTTATCTTCTCTTCTGGTCTACCCAATCCACATGTTTCTGGAAGAACTATTCTAACACTTCCTACCAGCACAGTGGTCTGGCTAGACACTCCTCATGTTCAAACTGTGCTTTCCATGCTCTAACACCATGTGCCAGGGGAGGCCAGGATTCAGGAGGAGGCTGGGACACAGCCCCAAAACTCACCACTGGGCAGTGAAGTCCACAAACTCGGGGGAGAAGCGGTCAGCTGGGAGCTGAGGGGACGGCTCCTCCACCACCTGCTTCAGCTGCTGGAATGGGGTCCCCCAGGACTCATAAGGGAAACGCAAGATGGCCATCTCAATCTGCAACGGGGACATAGGTCAGCAGGCTCTGGCCACCACACGAACGCATACTTTGCACCCAAAGCAGGGGGAGGAGGAAGAGCCCAGCACGGCCCAGCACCCACAGCCAGACCACTAGGCTAGTGTCACTCCCCTGACACATTGCAGCAGACCAGACACGAAAGCCAGGGGGTGCCAGCACCAAGCTCCTCCACCTAGCCAACAGACCCTTTGCAAAGCGCTTCAGTTAGTCAGGCCCCTAGTCTCTGATTGCCACAAGCCACTCTCCTCCCTAATATCTCTTCGACACAGATTTAAATATCTATTGCTTGTCCATTGCTACTCACCTGTGCAAGCAGGAAATGATATGGCTCTCTCTGCATCAGGTCAGCTGACTGAGATCTGCAGCCCTTCTCTGTAGAGCTCCAACCCCACCCACCAGCACTGCCGCCTCCTCCGGGGAGCCTTCCCCTCTCCACCCCATCACTTGTGTTCTGGCCAACACACGTGAGTGGCACACTGTCACCCTCCTGCTGGGCCTGGACTCCTTGTAGGTGACAAGAGGTGGCTGATAGATCTCTGTCCCTCCCGCTCAATTGGGACTCCTAGTACTACCCAAGCTATGCCAGCAGTAGGCAGGAAGACACTGGGAAGGGACTAGCCAGCCTACAACACACTCTGAGTTCAGCTTCTGACTGCTGGGATACAAGCACCACAATCAGGTCAGCCCAGGCCCCTGCCTAGAATAGCAATGAATTGCATAGTGCCAGCCCAAGGCCTCAGTGACAGGCCATAATCACCGCAATGAACGAAGAGAGGCCTCCGCTCAAACAAAAGCCTTGTGTCGGCAACACATACAGCACACCAGCCGGAACAGAGCACTAATTATTACACCAGGAAGGGGCCTTCCCAGCTGAGGCGGAAACCCGCCCACAGTGGCGGCAGGCGGCAGCCTGCACATGCTGTGATCTCAGGACAGAACTGGGCACACTCTCTTCCAGACTATGCAGATTCCACCATGCAGATGTAAGGTTCCTCTGTACACAGCAAGAGAAAGTCTGGCGGCCGTCGGGGCCTGACAAGGATAGAGAGCAGCCAAGGCCTGGACCACCGATTCCTAGCTCATCTTTAAAAACAAAAAACATGAGCTGGGAAGGTGGCTCACTGGTAGAGCGCTTGCCTTGCATGTTTGAGGCCCTGGGTTCGATTCCTCAGCACCACATAAGCATTTAAAAAAAAAGCCAGAAGTGGTGCTGTGGCTCAAGTGGTAGAGTGCTAGCCTTGAGCTGAAGAGCTGAGGGATAGCGCCCAGGCCCAGAGTTCAGGCCCCACCACTGGACCCCCCCCCCCAAAAAAAAAAAAAACTGCCTCTGAACACAAAGATACATGGTAAGGTGCTATCGGTCGTGGAAACATTTAGAAAACCCTAAGCGGCCAGCATCTGGAGCCAGTCCTTATAAGTGGCTGAGTCACAGTCAGAGCAATAAAATTCTGACCCCTGGGAGGCCCCCACAGTGACCCCACCCACCACCTAGGCCAGCATTTGATCAACGCTCATTACAGGCTAAGAGCCTTCCAGACTTAAGTCTGTGCTGACCAGGTCTAAGGGACTCAGAGCTGTGCAGGGTAATCCCATGCCCCAGAATATGTCTGTGTGACCCACAACTGGGCAGCCTTCACCTGCACAGAAATGACATGATTCTCCTACACATCTTGTGTGTAGAACAGAAACACACATCCTCCCTGTCCTGGCCACCGGTCGGCCCAGTAACTAGAGCACTGGTACTTGCAGCCCTACTTGCTGGCTTCTAGGAGAGACTGCACCCTGCACAGCTGGCAGGGTGGGGCAAGGGAGCACTGTGTGGGGGCTGCTGCCCTACATCCAGCCTGGCCCTTCTTCCATCTGGTTGTTTCTGGCCACATTCTTTGTGGGAAACTAGTAAATGCAGTCTGGGAAACCAGTAAATGTAGTAAACTCTACCCTGGAAGGTATGAGACATTCTGGAGTAATCTGACAGAGGAAGAACTGTGGGAACCCCAATTTATAGCCAGTCAGGGGCCTGTACTGGCATGAAGGGGGCATTTTGGGGCCTGGGCCCCTCAGCATGGGTCTGCACTGACTAGAGGGATCACAAGAGATCTAGAGGCTCTCAGAGTGACCATGATACCTCAACACAGGTCGGGTTCTGACTACCCCAACATCAGCTAGCCAAAGGGCTGGGTGGCACAAATTTCCCTGAGCCAGGTTCTATTGGATCCACAGACATGCCCCATGAGTCCTGGGCTGAGGACCACTCCAGGTTGCTGAGTCCACTGAATGGTCCATACACCAGGAGAGCCACTGTGACTATAACATAGTGTCTGCCCCGCCCCTTGTCTCTCTCATCCCCTAGAACTAGGGGACAGTGCCATTCACTTTCCTGCCCTCTCTGATTCTTCCTGCATATTGGTGCCACTGTGCTTTCTCAACTAGAAGCTTGAATGCAGAGCCCAAATAAACTTTGACCTTCACCTCTTGCAGCCCGGAGAGGAGCTGTCAGGCATTTCTAGAAGGAATAAGAGCCAGAACCCCCAATCTGGATCTTGGCTGCACTCCAGCCAAGATCAAAAGATATGGTACCTATGCCCGCTGCTCAAACCAGTAGCCCTTGCAGCCTTCACAGGCCCTATCCTACTGAGCCCAGGGTAAGGACCTAGGACCCATGAACAATGCATTTCTTGCTTGGAGAAATATTTAGGAGAATTTCTATCATCTGGCTTTGGAAATCACTTGCACAGTGAGAGCTCAACTTCGGATTTTTTGACATGCACCCAGAGCTCTAGGAAGGAGGCCAGTGATTGACTTCAGAGCTCGGAGGATGTTTGTGATGTGTAAACCAAATGATCAGGGAAATGATCCTGTATCTCATTGTCTTATAATCAGGAATGTTTGACAACAGATTTTCTTTGAAAGTATTCAAAGCCCCTTCCCGCCCCCCCAAGAGCTCAAGGCCCAAGCACAGCCCCACCCGGCCCCACCTGACCAGCAAGGACTGCACTCAGCCCTGGGCGGTACCATGGTGATGCCGAGACTCCAGACGTCAGACTTGACATTGTAGCCCTTCTGGTTCAGCTCAGGGTTGATTCTTTCAGGCTGAAAGAGGATTAAGGGGGATGTGAACACCCAGGTCAGGGTAAGGGAGACACCCAAGGCTCTCTCTCAGTCAAGTCTAACCTTTCTGACCCCAAAATGGAGGCCCTCCCCCAACCCACCTGTCCTCCTGACAGAGGCCAGCAAGGGCCAACGCCAATCCCTGCTTCCCAGCCAGACTCCCTGGGGAGGGCCCAAGGAACCCTAACTTCCTGATAATATAGGTCACAGAATTATGGACTACAGGGCATGGGGGATGCAGGTAATGGGGTGAAGGGGCATCTCCCTCACAGGAAAGTCTGGAAGCCTGCCCACTGCACAGAAGCAGTGGCCCCAGCCCAACAGCACCACTCACAGCCATGTAGGGCTTGCAGCCAGCATCCATCGTCTTCGCCACAGAGTCCACCAGGTAGCCGCTGATGCCAAAATCACACATCTTCACATGGCCTTCCTTGTTGATGAGGACGTTGGACGGTTTCACATCTGTCAGGTGGAACACACCTTTCTCAGCCACACCTGGACAGCGCCCTCTAGAGGCAGGCCCCATCCTAGACCGCTACCCTTCCTGGCTCACCACTAAGGACCCACAGTAGGTTCCTGGGGCCCCAAGGTCAAGATGAGGGGATGGAAGCTGTGAGAGGTTCCTGTGCCAGACCCCAATTGTGCAGAGGGGTGGGCCAAGATGTGCCCTGACCTGGCTCTACCACAAAGGGAATCCACGGCCCACACACAGCTCATGAGCCAAAAGTCCGATGTCAGCCATAGGGTTGATTAAGGCACAGGCTGTGTGTGCACACACAGAGCATTCCAGATTTGCAATGTGATGACCAGCATGGCAGTGGCCCTCCCAGCCAATCTGTGTACACCCATGCATCTCACATCTCCATAGGGATGTATGTAAGGACACACACAGAAAAGGGCTGGAAGGTTCCAGGCCAAGGTGACAAATGCAGCCATATTGTGTTTGACAGCACAACCCACCAGCAATAAAAGCCACCCTGGCACCATGCACAGAGCAGGTATTAGGAAGGAAGAAAAATTCAGGGTGGTCCTGTGGTGGAACTTGCCCAGCAAGAGGTACACACTACAGCTGTGCAGTTCACAGTAAACTGTGTGTCAAAACACCAAGGGGCTAGAAAAGTAGCTCAGTGGTAGAGCGCTTACCTTGCATGCATAAGGCCCTGGGTTCGGTTCCTCAGCACCACATAAGCAGAAAAAGCTAGAAGTGGTGCTGTGGCTCAATGGTAGAGTGCTAGCCTTGAGCTGAAGAGCTGAGGGACAGTGCCCAGGCCCAGAATTCAGGTCCCATGACCAACAAAAACAAAGAAAGAAAGAGCACCAAATAAAACCCAGGTGCCAGTGGCTCACGCCTGTAATCCTAGCTATTCATGAGGCTGAGATGTGAGGACTGAGGTTCAGGACCAGCCTTAGGCAAAGTCCATGAGATTTCATCTCCAAAATAACCATTGAAAAGCCCAGGCTGGAGATGTGACTTCAGTGGCAGAGTGGCAGTTTAGTAAGCGCAAGGCCCTGTGTTCAAACTCCAGTTTGAACTCAAAAAACAAAATGAAAGGGCAACACATCAAGATACTAAGTGGGGAGATGGTGGCTCACGTCTATAATCCTAGCTATGCAGGAAGCTAAGATCTGAGGATGGTGGTTCAAAGCCAACCCAGGCAGGAAATTCTATGAGAATCTCCACTAAACTACCAAAAAAGCCAGAAGTAGAGCTGTGGCTCAATTGGCAGAGTGCTAGCTTTAAGAAGCTGAGGGACGCCGGGCGCTGGTGGCTCAGGCCTGTAATCCTAGCTACTCAGGAGGCTGAGATCTGAGGATCATGGTTCAAAGCCAGCCCGGGCAGGAAAGACTGTGAGACTCCTATCTCCAATAAACCACCAGAAAACCGGAAGTGGTGCTGTAGCTCAAGTGGTAGAGTGCTCGCCTTGAACTGAAGAGCTGAAGGACAGCGCCCAGGCCCAGAGTTCAAGCCCCACAACCGACCAAAAAAAAAAAAAAGAAGCTGAGGGACAGCACCTAGGCCTTGGGTTCAAACCCCAGGACACCAAAAAAAAAAAAAATCTTTGTACTCATAAATTGACAATATTGAATTGAAACCTATTTTTACACTAAATAAAGTAGTAGTAGTAGTAGTAACAAACAGGAAGCAGTCAGCCAAACCAAGGTTATCCGGTCCTGACTCTGAGCACAGTAGATCACAAGGTAGAAAGCAGCCTGGACCCCTCTGCCTCTCAAAATCTCTCCCCTCTCTGGATCTCAGTCAGCAGCCTCTGTGCTGGTGGGACAGGAGGTGGAGAGACTGACCTCTGTGGATCACAGACAGCTTGCTATGTAGGTGTTCCAGAGCCCGTACGATCTGGGAAAGGACACGAGAGTCAGGACCACTGTTACTGCAGGTGGAATTGACAGTGACAGGGTAAAAAACCCCCACCCCCTCTATACACATTCCAGCCCTGGTCCCCAAAGCTCCTGCCCAGGCCCCAGCATCCTGGAGTCTTGGTGCAGTCTCTTTGGCCTCCTGAGCTTTCTCTTACCCTCAAAGTTGGATATGACCTGCCTGGGAACTCTGCAGAGCCCAGGCTGTTTCCCAGCAGCCATCACTTTGACCTACCAGGCCCCAAGGTTCTTCTCCATCCCTCAGAAGAGCTACCCACTGGGGACTGGGTCACAGGGGAGCCGGATACATGGGCTATTTTAAATGTTTCCAGATGGGGCTGGCTGGGAAGGTGTCTCAGTGGTACAGCGCTTGCTTTGCATGCCTGAGGCCCTGGGTTCGATTCCTCAGCACCAAATAAGCAAAAAGAAAAAAGCCGGAAGTGGCGCTGTGGCTCAAGTGGTAGAGCGCTAGCCTTGAGCTGAAGAGCTGAGGGAGAGCGCCCAGGCCCAGAGTTCAGGCCCCACGATTGCCCCTCCCCCCCAAAAAAAATGTTTCCAGATACCTCCAGGATTGAGAACTATGGATATCCCAGATCCTGTCTCCCCTTTCCCTTCAACTTCTCAAACCCAACAGCTGCTTCCCACTTCTAGGAAGGTATGGACTCCAAAAACAAATGTTTCTCCAGCTCAGCTTATACCTCTGTACACTGCCTTAGGACTTTCTTAATATGAGGCAGTTGTAAGTCCTAAGTTCTTTTTTTTTTTTAAATGTGATCATCTAGCCTGGCACTGGTGGCTCACGCCTGTAATCCTAGCTACGCAGGAGGCTGAGATCTAAGGATCGCAGTTCGAAGCCAGCCAGGCAGGAAAGTCTGTAAGACTCTTATCTCCAATAAACCATAAGAAAACGAGAAATGGCACTGTGGCTGAAGTGGTAGAGCGCTAGCCTTGAGCTGAAGAGTTGAGGGACAGCGCCCAGGCCCAGATGTTCAAGCCCCACAGACAAAAAAAAAAAAAAAAAATCATCATTTTTTTTATATCCAGGTCATTAATTACAGTACTAGTAAATCCTGGGGGATGGGGGGGGGGGGGCAATCACGAATTTGAGAGTAACACCCAGGGGCCTAGAGGCAAGAATTGTGGGAGTCCAGAAACCCCAAGCCCAAGCCCCTATTGTCTCCATAAAGGGTTGGTCCCAAGTAGGGAAACCAAGCCTTTGAGGAGCAATTACTGTGCCAATATAGTCACACAGCAGGCTCTGTGCCTGCTGGACAAGGCGGGGACTCTGACTCCCCAACCCATGGGGACTGGGCCACTTACAGACACAGCGATTTCCCCCAGAATGTCCTCTGGAATCGTCATGTTTTTCTCCAGCACCTTCCGGTAGAACTTGTCCAGGGATGTGTCCATGAGCTCCATGCAGATCCACACATCTCCCTGCAGGGGGCAGCAGTATTCAGTGACCCTTCTGGGCCCTGCTCTATGTGGCCTGGCTTCTGAGCACCAGCCCCAAGCTCCCCTGGGAAGGGACTTTGAGGACATGGAGAAACTGGGAGTCATGGGACCATGGCCTGCTCCTTCAACATCCTCAGGATGGCTACCAAGAAGACAGAGCCTAGCTCAGCCTCCTGACGCACTGGGGTGCAGCCTGCCAGAGCAGATGCATGACACAGAGGCTCTGCGCCACCACTGGGTCCTGAGAAGGGCTCCATGCAAGAGTACGGAACTAGAAGCCTTTAAGACTACTAGCAGTGTTATACAAAAGCAAGTCCCAGCAGGATGCTGGTGACTTACGCCTGTAACCCTAGCCACTCAGAAGGCTGATCTGAGGACGTGGTTCAATGCCAGCCAGGGCAAGAAAATCTCTGAGACTTATCTTCAATTAACCACCAGAAATGTGGAAGTGGCGCTGTGGCTCAAAATGGCAGAGTGCTAAACCTTGAATGAAAAAGCTCAGGGACAGTGCCTAGACCCTGAGTTCAAGCCCCATCATCAACGGAAAAAGAAAAAAAAAAGTAAGTCCTATACAGCATAGACAGCAAACCCTCCCTTCTAGCCCAGTACCTCCTCTCCCGCCGATTCCTCACCAAGCTTTCCGCACTTTTCACCAGCTCTGTAGGAGGCAGCTCCACCCTTCTTTCCCAGAGTCCAGAGCTAACCCCTCTCCCTGCCCACCAGCCGGACACACCACTGGTTTCCACGACAACTTCAGGAGGCAAGCTCAGTAACTGACTCATTGTACAGACGAGGAAACTAAGGCATGGGGGCAGGGAGGGGCAAGTACAACAACAAGCATCCAGCAATGCTGTTTCCCAGGCAGGCCAAGAGGGGCTTTCCAATGCTCCCTTGTGTCTTCTGAGGCCCCAGCACTCAACACAGAGGTTGCTGGCAATACATAGGTTGGGCAGGAGCCCACCACCCTCCCCCACCAGGCCACACCTCTCTGAAGAGGGCCCCGTAGAAGGTGACGGTGTAGAAGCAGTCAACTGTGCGCATGTTGATGTCCAAGTCCATGAGCAGCCGCTTCTGCTCCTGCGAGTTCACCGTGGCCCGGATGCGCTGTGGGAAGGCTTCCGGTTAAAGGCTGCTGGGGCAGGGCCTACCTCCCTCCTCCCAGGAAGCCAGGCCTGGCCTGAGAAGCACCACCCTGTCACTAGCCATAAGGAATGACAGGACCACATGGTGGGCAGTTGACAGGCCCAGCTCAGCGCCATGCCTCCTCATAGCTGCCTCCAGGACCAGGCGCTCCCTGGCAGGGCAGGACATGGGAAAGGGTGAGTTTTATTTACCTTTACAGCCATAATGGTGCCACTCTGCGCATGTCGCACCTTCTCCACCACCCCATAGGCTCCACGACCCAGCTCTGAGATGGTCACCAGGTCATCAGCCTCCACCTCAAAGTTCTTAGGAGACAGAAAAGAGAGGGAATTGGTGGCGGCCATGTCAAACCTGCCTGGCCCTTGTCCTTCATCCAGCAGAAAGAGCAGTAGAGGCCAAGATGGACAGATCTGGGTTGTAACCTTGTACCGGCCACTCCTCACTGTGTGAACTTGGGGAAGCCATTTAGCCTCTCTGAGCCTGATGCTGCCCTCAATAAAACATCTGTGTAGGCCGGGCGCTGGAGGCTCACGCCTGTAATCCTAGCTACTCAGGAGGCTGAGATCTGAGGATCGAGGTTCAAAGCCAGCCGGGGCAGGAGAGACCATGAGACTCCTATCTCCAATAAACCACCAGAAAACCAGAAGTGGCGCTGTAGCTCAAGTGGTAGAGCTCGCCTTGAGCTGAAGAGCTGAGGGACAGCGCCCAGGCCCAGAGTTCAAGCCCCACGGCTGACCCAAAAAAAAAAAATCTGTGTATACACACACACACATACACACACACACACACACAAAACCTGTCTCTAAAGGGACAGACACACAGGCACTAAGCAAAGATGTCAGGAAGTCCGGTGCTGGCAAGAGTTGGGGTAAGAGAGATGCAGGGGCTCAAGGCTCATAAATTGAGGTCTGACAACATGCCAGCTCTGGGCTCCCCATGGCTTTGTAAAGCAGGCTGACCAGACCTCTTCCAAACAGGAAAGTCAGAGGGAGGAGGCCCAGAGCCACAGCCTGAAGACAGTTCCTCCCCAGAGCCCAGCTAGGTCCACCACCCATAGCCAAGTCCCACTGGCCCTCCAGGCCAGCTCAACCTTAGCAGAGGATGCAGGAGAGGGCCCTGCATCTCAGCCGGCACCTACTCTGTCTCCAATGGTGATGAAGGTCCGGGAGTCTAGATTCCGAGGAGGTCTGTGGAGAAAGCAGACCTGTAAGGCTCAGCAAGACCACAGTGCCCTCAACCCCATGCTGCCCCACACCAGGAGGAAGAAAAGGCCTAGCAAGGGAACTAGGCATGTCCTGGTCCCAGTGGGCGGATCCCAGGGTCATCTCATCAGTTCTGGAGTATCTCCTGGGTGCCAGCATGGGGCTGCTGTGGGTGGCCTTGGGCTGAACCCCAAGATAGGGCTGGGAAGAGGCCCAAAGCAGATAATGATCATCAGCCTCCATGGAACCCATCGGGCCCAGTGCAGCCCAGACCAAGACAAGGAGCAGAGGCACCCACCCATATCCTATCTCCTTGCTCTCCCAACCCCCTTCAGAAGGCCTCTCCAAGATGATCAGGGGAGGAAACTGAGGCAGACTCACGTGGGATTGGGCACAGGCGGCTTGGACACACAGGTTATCCGTAAATCCTTTTTCTTCTTGGATTTTCCTAAAATGGCAAGGTGAGGAGTCTGTTTAATCTCTCCATCTATCAACATCCCCTGGCCTAGGTAATGCTGGGGGCCATGACACAGGCTCTCAGACCTCAAGAGGCCCTAGGTCTCCAGCACAGATGCAGAGTGGTCAATGTGATCAGTGGTCAATGTGATCAGGGGCCTCAGAGCCTTAGGTGTCCAGAGCATGTGCCTGCCTGGGCTGGAAGGAGGAAGTGGCCAGGCTAGGACTAGATCCCATGCACACTGGCTAGGCCCAAGCTCTTCTGCCCTCCCAGAAGCTGAGTTGCAGTTGTGACTGTCACTCCAGGGCCCATTGCTGGCCTGCAGGACACACACACACACACACACACTGTGCTTATCATTACAGCTGACGATTAGAGGGGACCTAGGGTGGGGAAGGGGCTTGGGCAGCCCACCCAGCTATAGAAGTACATCCAGGTCAAAGGAGTGAGTGTGCCAGGCACAGGCACTCCTGACTCTGCAGAAGGTCTGTGCTTAACTTCTAATCAAGGTCCGAGCTGTGTCTCTCAAAACTTATGTTGAAGTCCTGACCCCTACTACCTCAGAATGTGACCTTATTTGGAGATAAGATTTTTTTACAGAGGTAATTAAATTAAAATGAGGTCACTAGGGTTGGCCCTAATCCAGCATGACAGGACTGGTGTCTTGTTTGGTTTTGTTTTTTGTTTTGTTTTGTTTTGTTTTGAAGTACTGAGGATAAAGCCAGGGCTTCACACAAGCAGAGCAAGCTATCTTGAGCTATCTACCACTGAGCCACACTCCCAGCCTGACTGGGTGTTCTCACAAAAGTGGAACTGACCCACAGACACTGGCAGACAGGGAACCCAGGTGGAGATGCAGTCCAGGGGAGGCTTTAGGGACAGACTTCCTGCTCGGCCTGCTTGTCCACACCCACATCTTGTACTGGAGCTGCAGAAGCCTCTAGTTTGAGGTACTTCCCTAGGGCAGTATCTGTCCCCACCTGGGCCAACCTTGATGGTGGGGGAAGACTGAGCTCCATTGGGGTCCCTTCTCTGAGCCTGTTTGCCCATGAGTCACTGTGGAAAACAAGCCTATGTGGGGTGACTAGAGGCTTGGGAGAAGGCCAGATTGAGGCTCCCCAACTTGGCTCTGTCAAACACAAGACTCAGGCTTAGTGGGTATCCTGCCCAGCCTAGCCCTAAGAGTCTCCGTCCCCCAGCCAGATGGGCCACCCAGGCTCAGCTCCCACACACCATCATGGGAGTCCCAACCCCCTCCAGCTCAGCATCTCCTCCACCCAATAGGTCACTAGCCCCTAAAAGGACTCTTTGGAGGAGAAAACTACAGGGGAGGAAAAAAACAAACAAATAAACATGGCAAGAGGAAAGATGCCAGTCTGATGCCCGAGCTGAGCAGGAAACTAATGCCCAGGAGAAGCAACCAAAGCTATAGTTACACAATGGACAGGGAACAGGGCTGTTGCCTGCATGCTTTCTAAGGGCATGTGAGGCCACACACCTGACTACTCACCTGTGAAGTGAGAACACCAGACAAGGTAAGCTCTGAACTGACCTTTGGTCAGGGCTGGAACCCAGCTCAAACTACCCTCCAGGGATGGTCCAGCCAGACCTGCTCACCCAGAGGCCGAGCTGTGCCTGGCTCTCCACCACACCTCTGCCCCATGCAAAATTCTCACCATAACTGCCTTTCCTGGGGAACCCAGAAACCCTCTCCTCCCCATGGCACAGGAGGCCCAAGACCCAGAGCACCTCTCTTTCAGTCCTGACTCCTGGAAATGAGAGCGGCCTGGCCACACTCAAGATGGCAGCAGGGTGCAGCCAGGTGTCCAGCCCTGGGCTGGCACAGAAGGTCGGCCTTTATAGATCATAGAACCTAGCAGGCTGCATGGGACTTAGCAGGAGAGTAACCCTTGGATTAGGTTAGGTCACCTCTGAAGAAACCATGGCTGTCATCTTACAAGCAGGAAAGCAAGGCCCAGGGCAGATTCAGGGGTCTGCCAGTGCTTCTGGGCACCCTGATGACAGGCTCTACTCTCCTGAGAGGGGAAGGGATTTCCCAAGGCACCACAAACCTAGTGAGTGGCTGAGTTGGGATTCAACCATGGCTCCACAATGCCAATCAGAGTAGAAACACATGGGCCACATGCTTGTCCCTCACCCTGTTTCTCTACCACCTGCATTGCCCACCTATGCACCTCTGCTGCTGCCTCACTCCCATTACTGGCCTCCTGAGGGCTAAGAACTGCCCATGCCCTGCTACCCCCCTGCCCAGAGGACCCCAGTCCCTGAAGCCACATGAACCATCACTATAGCCTCATACAAGGGTCTCCCTGTGTGCAGGGACAGCAGTAGGAGCCCATGATCACAGCAAACAGCACCCAGCCTGGGCTTCCCCAGGGACCTCCCTCTCCCTCTCCACCTCTCCCCTCCCCCTGCCAGACTATCCACTCCTGCAGCCCTTTCTGCCCTTGCATCTAAGTCGCTGCCAAGAAGGGACTCTAAGCCACAGTGTACCACAGCAAGTGTGGTGTGGCAGGCACAGACAGAAGTTCTGCACTGGCCTGAGACTGGTGCATGCACAGGCCTCCACTCTGCCGCAGAGAAGTGCACAGCAGTAATGCCACCCTCCCTAAAAGACAGAAATGCCACCTGCCCCACCTGGAGGTCCAGGACTGAGCCCATCTGCAAGGAGCTCACCTGGGGCCTGCTACCCAGGAAGTGGCGCTAGTAATGCAATGGCACATAAATAGTTAGCCTGTTTATTACTGTCCTCTCTGAAAAGGGGGTGGGGGTGGGGGGAATCCATCTTAAACAATGAGAATTATAGGCAGTTTGTAGTGTTAAGTTTTTTGGTTTGTTGGGGTTTTTTTTTGTGTGTTGGGGGATTTTTTTTGTCAGTCATGGGGTTTGAACTCTGGGCCTGGGCATTGTCCCTTGGGTCTTCAGCTCTACCACTTGAGCCACAGCACTACTTCCAGTTTTCTGGTGGTTAGGTGGAGGTAAGAGTCTCATGGACTTTCTTGCCCGGACTGGCTTTCAACTGTGATCCTCAGATTTCAGCCTCCTGAGTAGCTAGGATTACAGGCGTGAGCCACCAACTCCTGGTGGCATTTTTATTCTTGAGGATTTTTGAAGCAAGAACATAAGTAATCAGATGGCAGGAAGAATGAAGGCCTGTTGAACTCAGAGCCATGGCCTGGTCCCCAGGCCCCAGCAGACACTGGTGTCTCTGGGGGGGCTCACAGCTGCACCCTTCCCTGCACTGCCTCTGCTCCCAGCCCCCACCCCTCCCTCTCTGGCTGAAGCCTGCTGCCCACCTCATGCCAGAGATTCGTGGATGGTGTAAGATATGCCCCCCTCCAGGGCTCTATTTCCTCTCACCAAGGCCATGTCTGTCCCTGAAGCTAGGCAGGGTGGAGAGGCCAGTGCTTTCTCCAAGGTTGGGCAGCACCCACCTTGCCTTGGCACCTCCCCTGCAGGGACATCGGCCTGCGTCAGGAATGACCTGAGCACTGTGGGGCAGCCACCAGCTGTCATCGGGAGTGGGGGAGGCCACCATGGAGACAGGGCAGAAACAAGCCTCAGGCTATCAGCTGCTGCCACTGTCCTCGTCAATTCTGGGGCTAGGCCCAGATGGCCAGGCAGCCAGGGTTACCCAGGTGTGGCTTGAGGTGACGACTGTCACCATAACAAACAGAGGCTCTCAGCCATCACAGGCAAACCACAACAAGTCCTCTCAGCCAGGGCCCTGATGCAGGGGCAAGCAAGGATCTGTGTGGCCTCAGGCCACAGCTAGCCAGGCATCAGTGTGGTCTAAGGCCATACCAGCCTCAAGGAAGCCCCCAAGGCAGGGAGTAAGGGCTGAGAGGGATTCAGGGACTGACCCCAGGTCATTCCAATGGACTGAGATAAAGTTGCTGCCTTGGTATGAAGTTCTTGCCCCTTACCCATTTCCCTCTTTTCCAACTCAAGGCCTTTGCACATACCATTTCTCTTGGCAATTCCATCTGAGCTGGTACATAACTTTGCTAGGTGCCTTTTCAGAGAGTACCCCTGACCACCAACAGGTAAGTCCCTTCATGATTAGCTCTCAATTCCAGTGACCTCTCTCCAGTCATTTTCTACAAATGACCTTTCTGTGGTTACTATATCAGAGAGGGTGTCTGCAGCCCAGTGGATTTGGATCTGCAACTCTGCCACTTCCTGGGTATGTGCCCTCAGGCAAGGGACCGAACCTTTCTGGGTGCCAGCAACAATGACCTCCTGGGTTCTATCAGCAGGTGCCTTAGCTGTGTCTGACTCCTAACTCAAGGATGATTAGACAGGGGTCATCTGGGGTTACCACCTATCAGATGCTACCTAGCTGAGCAGCAACTTGAGGGAAAAGTCTTCAAGGTCTGTCACATACGTGAGTCAGAGACCGGGTGACAGAGGTACACATCAAGCATCTGGTAGGGCCAGTCCAGCATGAAGGCAGGTCTGGAGGCTGGCTAGCTCCAACAAAGACAGCCAGAATATGGACCACACACAGAAGAAACCTGCACCAAGTCCCAGTCAGTGCTACCCCGAGGTTACCAAGAACAGGTGTAACCCCTGCAGCTTTTGTGCTAGTCCTCACCCCACTGTCCATCTTCCTCTGACTCCTGATTCCACAGAGAAGTCCCAAACCCAGTTGGCTAAGCCCATTGGATATATCAAATGCTGCTATGCAGGTATCAATGGCAAGATTTCCCAGACCCCTATGAAGCTGACCACCTCCATCCTGCAGGTCCCTCGGAACACAGCTAGGCCAACCCACAACCACACAGCAGGGAATCTGAGGCCCAAGGAGAGGTGAGGTGGGCAGCTTTGCACTGATAGCTCAGGCTTATCAGCATCAATCAGAGATGTGCACAACACCTCATCTGTGATCGAGATACTCTTAAAGAGGTCTCCCAAGCTCTTTCAGAGCTGAGTTCCTCACACACACACACACACACACACACACACAC